AAAAAAAAAAAAAAAAAAAAAAAAAAAAAAAAAAAGAAGTTGTCTTTCTGCATTCCTAGCATGACCTCTGGGGACACTGCAGGGCTTCTGGCATTCCCCCCACAGTGACAGCCCAAGGGCAGGTCCACCCCAGAGCACCTTTGCCACATCAAGGGCTTGCAAAAATGCAAGCAAAAACGATCATCACGACTGCCTGGCAAACGCAAGGTCCTGGGTTCGAGTCCTGATACCACCCCCCCAAGAAAACAAAAAACAGCCACTGCCTTCCCCAGTTTCTATTTCTATCTTTTAAGTGGATTTTGTTTTTGTTTTTGTTTTTGAGACAGGGTTTTGCTGTGTAGTTCAGGCTGGCCTTGAACTCACTTAGGTAGCCCACTCACTTATGAGTTCAAGGCTGATCTTGAACTCACAGCCTGCCTCCTGAGTGCTGAGATTACAGGCATGCGCTACCACCCGTAGCCCTCCTTCTTTTAAATGGAAATATAATTTAGGTACTGTAACGTAACAGCTTGACAATTTTAGTGTATGTGTGTGTGTGTGTGTGTGTGTGTGTAACTTCTACCACCCTGGGCAAAAACATGAGGTGTGATCAAATTACAAAGTGAATGTTTAAATACAAAAATTACAAAAGACACATTGCCATTACCCTCCTCACTTTGAACACCCTTGAGGCTCTTCCGCAAAGTCAAAATGACCATGAGGCCAACATTTTGAATCAGTTCAGGACATCGAGGCAGCCATGACTGTACAACTATAGACACCCAAAAAGAGGACTTCCAGAACCTCTTCCTTATTTCAAACTGAAATTCTGCACGTATTATATGACTCTCGGTTCCCCTCCCCCACCCCCTAGTAACTACCACTCTATTTTCTGTTTCTGTGAATTCACCTGTCCTAGGTACCTTGCATAAGCAGACTCATATAATATTTGCCCTTTGTTTTGCTTAGCACAATGTCTTCAAGGTTCACCCACTGTGTAGTAGGTGTCGGTACTTCACTTTTGGGCTGAATAACAATCCATTATGTGGGTATTTTGTACTGAATTTTGGTTATTCATTCATCTGTTGATGGACAATTGGATTGGTTCTATTTTTGACAATTGTCAATAATGCAACTATGTCAAAATGGTAACAGATATAATGTAGTCCTAATCCAAATACCAACAGCATTCCTCACAGAACTAGAGAAAGTGATCTTAACATTCCTATGGAATCAGAAGAGACCTAAAACAGCAAAAGCAATTCTGGACAACAGGGGCAAGGCAGGCAGCATCACAGTCCCGGGATTCAAGTTATACAAAGCTACAGTGGTAAAACCAGCATGGTATTGGCAATAACACACCCTTGAGGATCAGTGGAAAAGAATACAGGATGCAGAAACATCTTTAGTCACCCCTGGTTACCTGATCTTTGAAAAAGGGGATAAACACCTTTGCTGGAGGAAAGATAGGCTCTTTATCAAGTGGTACTGGGAAAACTGGTTTTCCACATGCCGAAGACTGAACCTAGATTCATATCTCTCACCATGCACTAAACTAAAATCAAAATGGATTGAAGATCTAAACATTAGAACAGAAATGCTTAATCTGCTGGAAGACAAAATACATAAAACTTTTCAAGACACGGGCATAGGCAAAGACTTTGTGAACAAAAACCTGGCTGCATAAGAAATAATACCAAGAATCAACAAATGGGGTCAAATCAAATGACGAATTTTTAGACTGGGAAAAACACCTTTGTCAGGTGCTCCTCAGACAGGACTAATGTCCAGAGTATATAAAAACTCAAAAAAATTAGACTCCCCAAATATAAAGACTCAATCAAAAAATGAGCATCTGGGGCCAGGGATGTACAGGGCCTGCCTAGCAAGTGTGAGGTCATGAGTTCGATTCCAGGTGCCAGAACCAAAACAGAACAAAACAAAACAAAGCAAAAAAACAAGCATCTAGAATGAATAGATACTTCTCAGATGAAGAAATGCAAATGATCAATAAATACATGAAACAATGCTCAATGTCGCTGGCCATTTGAGAAATACAAACTAAAACAAAACTGAGATTCCATCTCACTCCAGAAAGAATGGCTACTACCAAGAAATCAACCAATAATAAGTGCTGGTGAGACTGTGTGTGTGTCTCCATTGTTGGTGGGAATGTAAACTGATACAACCACTATGGAAGCCAGTATGGAGATTCCTCAAATAAACTAAAACTAGAAATTCCATCTGATCCAGCTAGTTCCCTTCTAGGTATCTTCCCCAAAGAGTTAAAAGCATCATACCACAGTGATGTATATATTGCCATGTTTCTAGCAGCACAATTCATAATAGCTAAATCTTGGAAGCAGCTTA